AGAACCCGAGTGTGTGTATGCGTGTGCGTGTGTGAGCGCGAGCGAGCTTGTGAGGGAGAGGAGCGAGAGTGCGATTGAGAAAGAATAAAAGGAAAGAAGATTTTCTCTGTGTATATAAAGATGACCACGTTAGCAAACGGACAGGCTAACAAAGCGAGCCTCGGTACCAACGGGCTCAGCAGCAGCCCGGGCAGCGCCGGGCACATGAACGGATTAAGCCACAGCCCGGGGAACTCGTCGACCATTCCCATGAAGGACCATGATGCCATCAAGCTGTTCATTGGGCAGATCCCCCGCAACCTGGATGAGAAGGACCTCAAACCTCTCTTCCAGGAGTTCGGCACGATCTACGAGCTTACGGTTCTGAAGGACAGGTTCACAGGCATGCACAACTTTGCCGGGGAGAAGGAGCGGGCGACAGCGAACGAGCGGGAGACGGCGCGACAGGGAGCCTTAGGCGGACGCCGAGGAGAAAGGCGCTCGGGCAGCGGAGACCAGGACTGGGGTGCGTGGGAGCTGCTCGCTGGGGCAAGGCTGGGTTTTGGGCAAGGAGCTAATAGACACGGTGCCGTGGGGAGAGCAGCGGGGGCAGCAGAAGAGAAAGAGATGATCGAGGGAAAACGGGGCTTGGATTTTTTGGTACAGCGACTAAGAGATTGGGATAGGGACGGCTGCACCGGCCGAGCCTGGGACGCCCAGCTGACTGGCGGGCTCTCCGCCCGCCTGGGACCTAGGGTGCTGTCCATCGCCGTGGTGCTGAAAACACTAAGCGGAGACGGTCTTCTCCTCCGCTCCGGGCCAGAGTAGCAGGAGCGCAGCCGTCTGAAAAGAAGGGAGGTGACAAATTCAAAGAGGTATTTTTATTTCGCTATTATTTAGCAGTAAACTCTCCCTGCCGAGCTGTGAGCCTCAGTAATCCGGTTGTGGTGTGTGTGCGGGGGGGGGGGTGTCTGATATTTGAAGGAAGGAGGGACAAAACCTAAGGCAAGACTTAACAAGTAATCAGCCATCCCCTGGGTGGAGTGGGGAGGGTGGTCAGGGAAGCTTCAGTAATCCCCCTCTCAGGAAAGCAGGGCTTTGGGAAAAATCTGTGTATGAAAGGTATGCATTTTGAAGTGTGTATCTTAAATCACCCCAAACTCACCATGCAGAGAGGTTTATAGCACACTATTTCTTTTCCTTGAAGCAATCGTTGCTAGTGAGTGCTTGGAGGAGGGGGAAACAGAATGATCAAACAATTAAAACCCAGCAACTTTTTAGGAAAGTGGTCATGGGAATTGTCTGCAGCCTGCCTGTTTTCTCCTTGTTTTATTATCTTTAAGGCAGAGCCCCAAATGTGTTCAGTTGTAGAACGTGTGTGGGTGGCTGGTGGGTGACGAAATTAGCCCAGTACTTGCTACCTAAGTAATGTATAGGATGTGCAGCGGGGATTAACCGGGGCTGGAGCTGTGTGGGCAAGTTGAATGCTTTCTGAGAGAGATTGATTATCAGGCAGAGAAGGAGCACCGGGCTAAGGAAGTTGTAAGGGATGTGTATGTATGTTCCGTTTTTAATAAACAGTAGTGTGGAGAGCCGCTGAAGATGCTGTGTTAGAGCTGGTGGTTTAAAAGATGAAAACACTCACACGCACATGCACACCCACCCACACACAGAGAGCAGCCTCATCCTTGGCCACAAATGGGCTATGAACAGAGCTGATCCTCCGGCACATTAGGTGCAGAGCCCAGAGCTGTCTGGTTCTCTAAGCAGCAGTGGTTTTCACTATCACAGCCTTCCTCCTTCTCCAGCCCTCCCTTCATCCGAATACTAAGCAGAGCTCCAAATTCTTCATAGTTGGAGTCCCAGAGAGCAGTTTTTATTGGCTTTAGCATCTTCCAGCTTGCCTGCTGAGGAGTAAATCTTACAGTTAATGGCATGTTGAGTAGCACAAAAACACAGCAGAATGGAAATATACTGGGTTTGTTGGGGTGGGGTGAGGGTGGGGGCTGTAATGGAAAGAGAAACCAACCTTTATTCAATATGGAGAAAATGTCTGTCTTTTCAGAAGAGAAACTGGAAAGATGGAATGGGGAGGCACTCTCCGAAATAATGTTTCTTTTCCCTTTTTTACCCTCCCTCTCAAGTCAACCATATCTCTGTAGTTTTTCCCTTTCCAATCAAGCTCCCAGGGAGTTAATCAAGGTTTTTATCAAACCTTCGTCATTCTGATGTGTCCCAGGTTTTAAAATAGCAACAATGAAAATAAAAAAGTATAGGTAGGGGAATCCTTTACACACGTTAATGATCGGTTCTTGTGGGGACTTGAGATTTTAAAGTTTAAAAAATTCAGAACCCACTAGAGGCAAAAAGACAGTTGTGAAGATCTGAGCTTTCTACGAGATCTCAGTTGGAGTACTTTATTTGCTTTTTTTATTTCAAATGAAGATAATCTTAAACAATATTCATTGGTTTCTTCTCATGACCCCTTGCTGGTATCATCACTCAGTTTCTGATGTTTTTTGTGTCATACCAAGGAAGTAGCATTTTCACCATTTGCATCAGGAAGGTAGAGGAGGTGATGATACAGTTGTTTTCAACCAGTGTCTCAGTGTGGTGCCCACTTTCCAGCCCAATGTCCTAGGTGGGAAGAGCCAGGCATCCGCATGGGAAGTGCGAACGGGAGGCTGTATCGAGAGGACACACATTCTAGGACGATCACCATTTGAGCCGTTTCCCCATGAGAGGGCAGGACCAGGTGAGGACAGACCCAGGTGAGGGCAGGTCCAGGAGATGGCAGGCCCAGAAGAGGGCAGACCCAGGTGAGGTTAGGACCAGGGGAGGGCAGGACCAACTGAGAGCAAGAACAGGAAATGGCAGGCTCAAGAGAGGGCAAGCCCAGTACAGGGCAGGACCAGGATAGGGAAGGAACATGAGAGGGCAGGACCAGGTGAGGGCAGGCCCAGGAGAGGGCAGGCCCAGGTAAGGGAAGGCTCAGGAGAGGGAAGGCCCAGGAGAGCCAGGCTCAGGAGTAGGCATGTCCAGGAGAGGACAGGCCTTGTGAGGATTGGCCCAGGTGAGGGCATGATCAGGAGAGGGCAGGTCCAGGAGAGGGCAGGCCCACGTGAGAGCAGCACCAGGTGAAGGCAGGCACAGGAGAAGGCAGTCCCTGTTAAGGACATGCCCAGGAGAGGGCCAGAACAGGTGGGGTAGGCCCCGGTGAGGGCAGGCCCAGGAGAGGGCAGACCCAGGTGTCTGCAGGCCCAGGATAGAGCAGACCTAGGAGAGGGCAGGCCCAGGTGAGGTCAGAAACAGGAGTGGGCAGGCCCAGGCGAGATCAGGCGCAGGTAATGGTAGGCCCAGCTGAGGGCAGGCCCAGGGCAGGTCAGGCACAGGGGAGGAAATGCCCAGGAGTGGGCTGGCCCTGGTGAGGACAGGACCATGTGAGGGGTGGCCCAAGACAGGGCTGGCCCAGGAGAACAAAGGCCCACATGCGGTCAGGTCCAGGTGAAGGCAGGCTCAGCAGAGGGTAGGACCAGTACAGGGCAGGATCTGAGAGGGCAGGCCCCATTGAGGGCAGGCCCAGGCGACTACAGGCCATGGAGAGGGCTGGACCTTGAGAGTGCAGGCCCAGGAGAGGGCTTGCCTTGGAGAGGACAGGACTAGGTTGGGGGAGGCCCAGGCCAGGGCTGGCCCAGTAGATGGTAGTCCCAGGAGAGTGCAGGCCCAGGTGATTGCAGGGCCAGGGTAGGAGTGGCCCAAGAGAGGGCATGCACACACGAGGTCATGACAAGGTGAAGGAAGGCTCAGGAGAGGGCAGTCCCAGATGAACGCAGGCCCAGGGGAGGTCAGGCACAGAGGAGGGAATGCCCAGGATAGGGCTGGCCCTGGAGAGGTCAGGACCAGGTGGCAGGAGGCCCAGGTGAGGTCAGGCACAGTTGAGGGCATGCCCAGGTGCGAGCAGGCCCAGTTGAGGACATGCCCAGGAGAGAGCAGGCCTAAGAGAGGGCAGGCCCAGGAGAGGGCAGTTCCAGGTAAGTTCAGGCACATGTGAGAAAAGACTCAGGTAAGGGCAGGCCCTGGTGAGGAAAGGGCCAAGTGAAGGCAGGACTGGGAGAGGACAGGCCCAGATGTCTGCAGGACCAGAATAAGGCAGACCCAGGAGACGGCAGGCCCAGAAGAAGGCAGGCCCAGTAGAGGGCAGGAACATGTGAGAGCAGGCCTATGAGAGGGCAGGCGCAGGAGAGTGCAGGCCCACATGAAGTCAGGACCAGGTGAAGGCAGGCTCAGGAGATGGTAGGACCAGGAGAGTGCAGGACCAAGAGAGGGCAGGTCCAGTTGAGGGCATGCCCAGGTGAGGAGAGGCCCAGGAGATGTCAGGCACAGGGAAGGGAATGCCCAGGAGAGGGCTGGCCCTGCAGAGGACAGGAGAGGTTAGGGGAGGCCCAGACAAGGCTGGCCCAGGAGATGATAGTCCCAGAAGAGTGCAGGCCCTGGTGAGTGCAGGTCCATGATAGGAATGGCCCAGATGAGCAAAGGCTC